TTATCCGACATTCCGTCTTATCTGACGCCCCTAAAAAAAACACATACAGTAGAGTCTCGTTTAACCGACCTTCGCTTATCCGACATTCCGTCTTATCTGACGCCCCTAAAAAAAACACATACAGTAGAGTCTCGTTTAACCGACCTTCGCTTATCCGACATTCCGTCTTATCTGACGCCCCTAAAAAAAACACAGCAACACGCATAAATCAGCGACGAGAAAAGCATGCCGCTTGTTTGCGAGCGTGAGTGTACTTTTTCTTGTTGCTCCTGATGGTGCGGCGCCGCAACGCAACAATCGATTGCAACAGGCGCAGTGGATCAGGTTTTTTTTTTACCGCACTCAATCGTTACTGTGCATTATCCGACATTTTCGCTTATCCGACATTCTGCCGGCCCGTTTATGTTGGATAAGCAAGACTCTACTGTATAAGCTTAGCTCACCTGTATAGAATCAACCATGCCATTTTGGAAGGTGACTGGTAGCCAAAGGAGGATCAAGGTACTCCAGACCTTGATTGTGGATTCTTACATTTATTACCAAGGGTGTAACTTTCCTGTTATTCAGTAAAGATTTTCAAAGATGGTTGTTGACTGCACTATTAGCAATGGGTAAAAATTCATTTCTGCTTCTGTGTACAATTTTACCTGAACAAGCTATCTATTTCTAAAGGTTAACTGAAGCACAATACTACTAGTAGTAACTTCCTATTCTCCTCAATATTTATGCAGTTGCACTACAAGCAACTGACTGCTATTTATATTGGTATGTATCTCGACTCAGGGATATGCAACATTGTTGGACAGATGGGCATATATCACAGCCAAATGGCTATGATGGACAAGGTATGCAGTATCAATATAGGTCAACTGCTATCCCTCTTAATGTTTCAGGATGCCCTCTACCACCTTACTGTAATTTACTTTTATTTTTCTGGGCATATAAGCTCAGTTCCAAACTAAGTACTGAGTTGAACCCATCCATCATTCTTTTTATTTTCTAAGAATATCTACAAAGTTTGTGAGATGACGCTAGAAATATTACTTTTTTAAAAAAAGAAAGAATATTTGAAAAAAGAAAATTGATATATACTAAGATAATGATATCAACCTCTTACTGTCAAAATATCCCAATTTGTGTGTTTGTTTAAATTATTCTGTTAAGACTAGAAATTTAAATGATAAATGTGGGTTGCTGCCAAAGGAATACCTGTATCAGATTCCTATTTCATTCATTTTAACTTCATACCAGAAAGGTTAAAGCAGAAACTAAAGCCAACTTTTAGTTTCCAAGAGACATGCAACATCAATTAACAAGAACTTCAAGTGGTTTCATGGATTAAGATGACTAAAGTCAAAAGCAGGCCTGTTTTCTTTATTTTTCATAGGAATGTAGAGCAGACAGTTTCAACAGGTGTAGCTTTTCTCATTATTGTATAAATGGTAAAATTCCTTCTTCTACTTTACATAAAAGTCCTGGCCTCTACAGTAATGTATCATATTAAGATGACTAGTAATTACCTTAAAGTACATTCAAATGACAATCTTATGGAACAAAAACAAACAAATATAACCAGCTTCTAAGAAGAAAGTTTTTCTTCTTGGTTTTATCAAAGCTCAAGTTGAATTTTCTTACAGAAGAGCAAAACTAACATCTCTACAAACTTTTTCATTCAGTCTTACTTATGCTTTCACCTGGGTGCGCAGCAAGTGTTTAAAGGTCAAGAATTATTAGCACCAATGAGAAACTGAGCAAAGCGGTACTGCATTCTACTGAGAACCAAAGCCTCAACTGCCAAGTTTGGTCTCGTGTTATTTTTCAATAGGCATTATGGTTAATAACTCCTGAAGGAGTAACCAACTATCTTTTTGCTAACCAAAGGCTACTGTGCATAAGATTCAGAACATTTATTAATAGAGTGCACTCAAAGTTCAAATGTTTTTTATTCTCATTAAGGACATATTCAACCTCCACAAACTCAAAGTTCAAATGCAGTTTTCATAGGCTAATTTTAATATAGAGTTTTGCTGCTTTAAAAAGATTTAAACTGTCTATAAGCTCCTAACATTAATAAATTAACTGAAGATGGACATTTACTGTACAATATCTTCAAAACTTCAAAAGTAGAAAGAGATGAATTCATACTTTAGAGAGATCACTGAGAAGTCCCAAGAAGAAGAAGAAGGAGGAGGAGGAGGAGGAGGAGGAGGAGGAGGCCAAACCATTTAAACAAAGTTTCTGGATACTGTGCTTTTTTTCCCAGTAAAAATATGTGTTGTTTTATTAATTAAAGTCTGAGGTAAGGAAGGAAAAATCCAGCCAAGTGAAATACTGAAAGTGAAAAGAATGCTTGGGAAAAGCAGGAATAATACAATATCATCCTGAGGAATGAGGTACCAGTGATATGGCAGAGAAAAGATACCCAAGAAAAGCTAACTGAGGGAGAAATGGACAAGGATATAGAAGTTATTTTAGAACAGTTTCTGGACAATGAAACAATACACTAAGCAATTTTGGAAATCACATTTTGTACTCATATTCAAGTATTCATAGATCCTTGAAAAGAGGCAAAAAATGTGTCAGTGAGTGAACAAGACATTGAGGCCATTAAGATTAGGCAGGGATGCCCAGTGAGTGCAAGCACACTGCTCAAGAATGCTACAGTAGG